CATTCGCGTTTCTCTTTTGTCGGTTTATGATTTATTCTTGCACTTTTGCGGTGCTAAATGTCACACTAACACTGATTCACTCTAATCTCTTCTCCTGGGCCTGGTGAAGAGAACCTGCGCCACGGGACCTCACACAAGCAATTTCATCTGACCTGGCCCCCTCTATTTCCCCATTCTGTCACACACATGCACACATTTCACCATGAATGGCACCCCTGGGCCATTAGCCAGGGAGCAGAGCCTGGTGCGGAGGGGAAGAAGAGAGTAAAATCAGAGGGAAAGTGAAAGAAGGGTCCAAAAAAATGACATGGAGACACTCAAACTTCAGAGACCCACAAATCAATTACACTGGATAAGAGCATGGCATGATCCATGACTCTATAGAGTTGAATAAATCAAACTGACTAAATGGTAAGTCACAAAGAATTTGCAATATTAAAGAAATGGCCACTATTTTGTCAAGGTAAAGTAGGTATGGCAACCAATGGAAACTGGATTTTTATTTTCTGCAGTGGAAAGTAAGGTAATTATGACATTAGGAGTCCAAGTAACCAATCTCACACTACAATATTTAATTCCTGGATAAATCTGTTTTAGAACAAATCATCGGATTAAATGACTGAATGACATTCATACACTGTGTTCCATTTGGAAGGGCTCAACCATATGCCCTGATCCCCTCGATGGGTTTATCCTCTAGAACAGGGGTGTCAAACGTACGGCCCGCGGGCCGGATCAGGCCCGCAACCGAAGCCAATACACGAGATGATTCTGTAAGCTGAAATTTTTCAATAAAATATACTGCTATAACAATTGTGTCCACTGGATGGCAATAGCAAACTTAATTTCATCCCATCCACAAGCCTGAATCAGCGTCAATTTGACAGCCATCTCAGAGAGAAAGACCTCATACCTTTTTTTGTATCTGTCCAAGAAAACTAAACATTCGCGATCGATTAACATGTGGAAAATCTTCTCTCGCTCTGCACGTTTCCTACTGCTGGTTCTGTGTGTGCGCGATCTGTCACTCATACAGAAATTCTTACATGCTCGGCAGACCCACTGAGACGCGCCTTTTCCGCCAAAATGCATCCGGCCGTAGTTTCTGAATGTCCTAAAATGTCCAGAATTCAGGTTTTACTTTCGCATTCTAAAGTTGTCATTATTTGTATGCGTTTTTTGCATTACCATTTCGCAGCTGAATGTAATTCACATTAAATTGTGTACAGGCACGTGCACACATAGGGCTCAACCTGTGCAGTGCACATGCCCTTTTTAGTCTTGGATAGAAAGTGCCCTTCCAAAATGATCAAAAGTGCCCCCGCGACGCGGCACACCCTCGGTCCCGCTCTTCAGTAGGCGCGCGATAACACCGCTTTTGAGCTGATCAGAACACCGCTCTTCAGTACGCACGCAACACCCATCCACCTCCCCCCCCATTTTTTCTCATTTGATGCATATTTTAATTATTTAATGATGCTAATATGTTACATACTTTATAATATCTAAATTGTTTTGACAATACTGTAAATGTCATTCAAATATAGCAACTTTAGAGAGAGAGAGGGAGGGGGGGAGAGAGAGAGAGAGAGAGAGAGAGAGAGAGAGAGAGAGAGAGAGAGAGAGAGAGAGAGCACCCTTAAATAGCATAAGTAAGAAATAGTAGATTTCTATTATTTCAACAGCCTTTTTAAAATAACTTTAACCAATTGAAAAGAAAAGGTGTATAACAGTGTCGTAATAAATAAAAATCAAGTTACAAAATCGCATTATTTTTTGTTTGTTGCATGTAGTTGACCATGTATGTGCTGCGGGAAAAAGATGTTTTTCAATCAGGCTACCACTGCAAGTATATTTCAAACCTGTAGGAAGCCCTGCACACTGAGGTGATCTCACGAGGAAATTTAACTATTTTACTTTTTGTCAGTTTAGCTGCAATTTTGTACGAGTTCAGTCATATGAAAATGTACCATTTGAAAAAGAAGGCGTGGTAGATTTTACTCCATGAGGCCCCTGACCTAAAATGAGTTTGACACCCCTGCTCTAGAATGACAGCTTTGAAGGGATTATGGCATATAGGGATGGAATGGAACGCTATGTGCAACACCAAAGAACTTCCCTGCGCAAAGAATCATGAGGACCTGAAGTGTCCATTGAATAGTTGTACTCTTTTAAAATCCTTCATTCCAAAGGGCCCTTCAAAGTGGCCAGTTTTCAGCACTTTGGTTTGGTATGGCACTTCAATATGGCCGCCAGGATTTTCACTTCACAATGCTCTCCGAGAGTGAGGAATCCCAGTTTGAGGCAACAACCATTTGTAGTGGTGTCCAACACCACAACGGACATTGTCGAGTGCAGTCATTCAGTCTCAAAATGCACTAGAATAACAATAGTACAACTGATGTACACTCAACAGCCAACGAATACCCATAAAGCGCATCAAGGGTCATGCCAAATTAATTTTTAGGATTTTGCCAGAACGGACCACGTCTGAATTGTCCATTAATTCATTTCCAAAACCACCGGTTCAATGTGAAAACAACATATTCATTCATTCATTTTCTTTTCAGCTTGGTCCCTTTATTAATCGAGGGTTACCACATTGGAATGAACTGCCAATTTATCCAGCATATGTTTTAAGCAGCGGATGCCCTTCCAGCCGCAACCCATCACTAGGAAACAACATAATCTTATAAATATAATTTAAATGGTTTAAAAAAAATTTTTTTTTTTTTAAATCTGTTGTTTGACAGACTTTTAAAATTAATGTTTAAAGAATTAAGACTTTTAAAATTATATTTATCCATGGCATTCCCAAATAAGCCAAGGGTGCCAACACGAAATAAATTAAATTATCATAAAAATATTATATATTTCAAATATATTTTTTCTTCATTATAATTTGTGATGTAATATTATGGTTTATTGATTTATCTATACTTTTTTGTAATTTGACTTGAAATATCAAATCTATAGACAATATGTGAATGTGTATACATGTATTTATGTGTATATATGTATATGTATTTATGAATGATTGTGTATGTATACATATACATGTATGTATATGTGGGCATATATGTGAGAGGAGATCATGTGATCCGGAAGTGTACAAAAAGGAGCACCTGATTGTGATGAACACTGTCTGATGAAGAGCCGGGTGGCTCGAAACGTTACACGCTGTGTGTCAGCCTTTTTAATTTTATAAATTTGTATTTTTGGAGCCTTGGTGTTGCCGCCTTTGATTGACATTTATTTGCACTTTTTGCGGTTTTGGCTGAGCACCCAATTTAGAGAGATGTGCGTGCTTTTGTACAGTTTTTTTCATTTTTATATTATTTGTAATACAATTTTGTTCTTTAATACAAGCAGTCAGTTATGTGAACTGTACCTTTAATATTTCATGTTCAGAGAAACACTCTTTTTGAATGTATCAAACAACTAAAGCACATTATAGCATTTAAAGCAAATAAACACACGTTAAAATTATAGTGTTAATATCTTAAGCACCTATGATTAGTAACACGCTCAACAGAAAAGACTGCCATTGTCTCGGTCAGCGCAGCTCTGGCGCTGTTTCTATTATGATCTATAACAGAAGGCGACACAGGGGAAAACTCGTTCTGCAGACATGCTCGTGTCAGAATCCACAAGTAACGTTATTGTTGTAACAGCCAAAAGAGGAGATAAAACGTTACCTCAGGAACACGCCAGCAGGTCAAAGGGGCCACAGAGAGTGAGAGAGTTTACAGCTAACATTTTTTCCGTAGCCAGTTTCTGATGTACTTCTCTGTCAGTGAAAGACTGTCCAGCAAACTCACAAGCAGGGAATCATCCATAGTTATCTGCTTTTTAAGTAGTCGGAGTGTTTTAATTACTTGCGGTCTCCTCCCTCACCGTAGTATACATGTAACGCATATGTGATAAAGGACATCAGTAAATAACCAGTTATGATTATTACTGAACCGATAGCAAATTGTTCATATCTGTATTGCGGTGCATGAAAGAAACTAGTAATTTTGACACCCCTATTACATCGTCAGCTCAGACAATACACTAATTTGACAAGAAACACCAGAAACCAAAATTGAAAAACACAATACTTATATAAGTTGCACCAGAATACCACATTCAGTATAAAAAACTGTGTATTTAACAGATTTAATTTAAATCTTGCAGCATCCTTAGTTGAACAAACATCACAAAACACAAAGATAAATTCTCTTACACTTGCAATGGCAGTTTCATACCTAGTCATGAGTAAGACTGCTCTGAATACAGGTACATCCTGTGGCGCCTAGTTCTAGCAAGTCTCTAATGTGTGGTAATTACAAAATGCTACGAAACACATAAACACGCCTCCTCCCTCCCATCACACTTTCCACTGACCTTGTTTTGCTAATTGCCGTCTGCACCGCACAGTCAATGAATGCAAGTGCAACGGTGTGCAGCCATACATTAAAACAAGGAATTCATTACCCACTCAACCCCCAATGGCATCCCACCGTTTAGTCTTCATTAATAAGTAATAATTGGGTCAAAAGACCTCTGAAAGAGCATATATAAATAATGGTTGCCACAAGCAGATCACCCAGAAGAAACGCACAAAAACACTTTCCGAAAGCTCTGTAATAATAGAGCCGATGTCTCATCACTTGGGTTCCTCTCTCGCTCATTCTGGTGACTGACAGGCGAGCACGGGGCGGAGACTGTGCTCAGTGAAGCGAGCAGGGCTTCCGTGTTATAATAAAACAGTTAAATTGGATTTGTTCATATGCGGGAAGCGAGTTGTCTGGATTAGCATATCAATGCCTTTACACAAATCGTATTTTCAAGAGCATTGAGCACTAAGCAGCACAAAATTAATTCTGCATGATACGCCCCGAGGCCTTCTGGGATGCTGTAAGCTTCATAACTGTTCCGTACGCCCAGCCCTCCTAGAGCCACCGCAAACGCGTTAACTGTAAAAGCTACTGGTTACGAGATTGAGCTGGGCTTACCTTCCTCCAGTCCTTGAAGAAGTTATTGCGGAAGACCTCTTTGGTGGTGTATTCGTGATCCAGCATCTGAGCAAAGTAAAGGGCCACTTCCTCAGCTGGCAGGCTGAGTTTCACTGGCTCTCCTACAAAAGCAGAACATCTGGTACTGTAAGGAATAGAGTATGAAAAAGCAACCAGCTTACAGCCAACTCTGGGCTGCCTCTGTCAAATTATGCATTTAAGCAATTCAAAGTCAATAAAATGTTTTATGCAGTCAATAAATGTATTTTCTAAATATGCAGATTTCTTTTTATTTGCTATCATAGTTCAATGTTATCTATATTCAAAGGATAGTTGTTAAAAGCATGCCGTACATATGAGATTAATTCCTCTTCAGTTAAACTTTATAGAAAACTTTAAGCTAAAATCGTGGATTGATTATTCAAAATAAAGCTAGTCAATAGCATTTGAAAAGAAGTTGTAAACATGTTTTTAATGCTTTGGATAAAACCAAGTAGCATCCCTACATTTTGCATAAGACCATGTGTCCCATATTCCATGCTGAGAAGTGTGGCAAAAAAAAAAAAAAAATCTGTAAATTGGCATTTTAATTTATTTATGCTTTTGAATTGCATTATGGAACCGTGATATTTCTTTCAACAAACTTTAGCCTTGAAAAGTTTAATAAAAAAGTGATTTTTATAAACACTAAAGTGATATATTGTCTGGGTTGGTGTTGTATATTAAGTTCCAAACACCTTGTTCTAAATGGTCCATACATCTTGTTATTTTGACTTCTGCATATCTAATTTTAGCATACATTATATTATTTCAAATAACTAAACAGTTATTAAAAGTCCATTTGTTAAACGGTAGCGTTAGATTTTCAATATCAAAAGGTCAAAAAAGCAGAGATCAAGGTCCTGTAATGCAATTCACAACCTTAAAGGTGCAGTATGCAAGTTTGACACCCAGTGGTTAAACTATAACTATATATATATATATATATATATATATATATATATATATATATATATATATATATATATATATATATATATATAAGCAACAGCATGCGATCAAGGTAATATTTTCCATATTAAAGTTAGTTTTTGTTCTAACCAATACCTCGCAGTGATATTTTAGATATGAGTTCCATTTTGTTCAGTTGAACAACAGAAAACTGACAATGATCACCTCGGGTACACCTCATGTGCTTTATTTATGCTAACAATGCGAGTTTGAATGCCATTTTACATGACATTTACTGCCATAATACTGAAAGCGGAAGTGGATAGTTTACCTGAAAATAAAACAAACCATTTGAAATTGATCTTTAGAACTGTGAAATAGTGATTAGACAGCATCTAAATTTAATAATGTTGAAGAGGTTTAATATGTATTAATTTGGATTATAAACCTTACCATTTCGTGAGTGAGAGCATATTCTGTGCTTCTGAATGGCTGTTTTTAAAGTTCTGTCATGTTTCGCCTGGTGCAAACAGCTAAATTGCACGGTTTAAAATATAACCTGCTCACCTAATGTTTACGTTCATAATATTTATATTAATTGCTAATTCAGAATTTCATGTGGAACTTTGAATGAGTCATTTCGGAGTCTGCTACGATCCACCGCAGGTCACATTTTGGTCATGGATACATTTTGAGAGCCTTTTGACTGAATGAATGGAATATGCTGATTTCCAACAAGGCCACCCAGGGTGCTGAAATATAATTTGTCATTGGGTGGGTTAAAAAAAAAAAAAAAAATGAATGACTGACTTATGCATTGTTTTTCAAATAAACAAGAATGTTCACTTAGAATGTTTTTTAAATATCTGCAAACATAGTATGGTAATTTATGCTTTAGAAGAGTCAAAAACTTACATAAAGCACATAAATAAACAGAAAACACTTGTGAATCACAAAATACAGAAACTTGGTCAACAAATTTTTAATAGTGTAACTTTAAGCTGCATAATTTAAAGGGTATTTATGTACACCATGTAGCACCAAGCTATTTTCAAAAGGTTATTTCAAATCCAAATATCTAAAAACAAAATGTAGTTACTTGCAGAAAAAACAATATTAGTATTCACTTTTGAAAGATGATTACCTCTTTAAATAAGCCAAAAGCACAGACAAAAAACAAAGTTATCATTTCCACAGATCTACGGCAGAGGTGTGTGCTGCAAGCTTTTATAGGATGAGTTAAGATGAGTTATCAGACACGGCTCCCACAGGACTCGCCTGCGCATCCCACAATATAAGACTTTAAATGCATCACAGAGAATCATGGCCTAGGACAAATATAATCAAAACTGCATTTATAGCTTTAGAGAGTCTCAGGTACAAAATCCAAATACTTCCCCCCTTTGGGTTATTGTAGCAAGATTAATGGTCTAGGCCTTCCAAAACGCACTTACAGTTTAAGAAGCGCCTCACTACGGTAAATGGCAGAGTGGATATTAATAGAGGAAGCTGACCTTAAAGTTTAGCAAAGAGATTAAAGACTCTTCCTGTGCTCTCTGGAGTAAGCCTGACATCAACAGAGGAACAGGTCAACCTTGAGGCTGGGCTGCGAGCCCAGATCGGGAAAATTAAAGGGAATAGTTTTCACCGTAAGCATTTAAAAATGTTTTGCAGTGAAAAGCTTTTACGCAATGCATCAGTAACACCAAACCCTCAAGAAACACAGAAATAATGGAGCACTCATAGTACCATAAATGTGCGACGTGCAATATGACAGAATTCTCATAATCCCGCCTTCTCAATGAAATAGCCAATCACAAGCTGATAAAGCCACTACATCACTTAAGCTGCTGTTAAAAGCTAAAGTTGCATTAGCTAGTCAGTGATCTGAATAAAAGCCTTTCAAACACAGAAAAGGTTTATGGAACAGTTCATGATAGATCAGTGTTTCTCAACCATGTTCTTGGAGGGCCACCAACACTGCATGTTTTGGATGTCTACTTTTGAGTACCCTTAGCAAAGTGTACCTAGCACAACAAAAGTGTACCAAAAGCCGGAGCTATACGTGCAGCTGAATCTACTGGTTTACAGAGAAATGTCACTTGTGCACACACAAGCAGAAGAATGAAAACAAAGAAACTGCCAATTTTAAAAACACAGCGGAAACATTACATCGTAATACTTTATGCATATAATAACGAGCCATGGTCAAACCGGCTCAAACAAACCTTGTCATTGTCTTGATGTACAACTACAAAGCCATCTGCCATGTCCTGTTTTTGTTTTACGAAACTGTCTAAAAGTAGGAGCGGTTTCACTTTCTCCAGGGAGCTCACGATCGCTGTGTGTGTGTCTATATTTGAAATAACGAGCTTCTTGAGTTGTATGCTGTGTGTAGTTTATTTGTAATTGGCAACATATTGGAGACTATAAGGGGCTTTATGTGTTCATGCTTGTTGCATTTAATTATTTTATAGAATTCCAGACGTTGCAGTTGGCTATTTTGCACTCACTCATTGATCTGCAGTTATCAGTAATCTAACCCTGTTCATACAAATGTAAGCAATGAACATTTATACAAAAGTATGTGTATAAAGCATCTGTTTTGTGAGAAGTGCCTCTCGTATGATATGTGAACGACCCGTACAGCTTTACTTTGAGTGGGATTATCTAGAGCGAGAATGACGTCGACTGAAAGTTTGTCGTACACCACGCCCACCAAATGGGTACCCTTGGTTAGGCATTGGAAATGCAAGCCTAATAAAGGTGACCTGTACCACCCGTACCGTACCAGTCAGTGGAAACGGGCCATTAGTTATATACCCCTCTCAATCATCTCAACGCATCCTCAACATTTCTTTCAGATTTAATTACCTACCTTAATGGAGAAGCAGCAGCAGGATAATCTGCCATTTGTGAGTCTTTCATGCAGAGAAATCTCCTCAGGTCTCCCCAGAGTAGTTGTGCATTTAGAATTTAATGTCCCAACATATCTTGATACAAGTTCACAATAGACCCTTTTACACATATAGACCTTTCCGGAAAAGGTCTGTATGTATAAACAGGCCCTTTTAGAAAATACCAGTAAATTCTGGAAAGAGAAGTTGTAACATTACTGGTAATTTGCAGAGAAAGAAGTAAATCACGTATAGAACGCTCTCTATCCGGCAATCATCCTACTGCGTTCACACAGCGCAGCATTTCTCTACTTAAGCCAATCAGAACGCGGTTTATGAAATAAATTCCTTCTAATATTTTTCTACACCCATTTAGCTTCTAGATGTTTAGTCATAACGTTTCCATGTTCCTTCTTAACTCCAACGGTGTAAAAACTATCCATAAAATGCTTATGATAGACTAATGTTTGTTTACCTTCAAGCTCTGACATGTGTGCACGTGAAGCAGCCAGTGAGCCCCAGCTCACACACATATATTATGTACATCTCGACATGTAAGTGTTCCTCCATATGTTTTCGTCAAAGTTTTTCACAATACTTATCCATCCACAAAATTTTTCATGTAGTCAAAGTTTTACAAATATAAGCGCAGCCGTTTAGAGCTCATTTCTGTTTAATGATGTCAGAATTTATCTGTATTTTGGAATGGATGTGTGATTGCTCTTTTCCAGAAAAATTCAGTTACGCCTGTGTGAACAGCGCTTTTTTGAATTAACTGGTAAAGTCATTCTGGAATTTTTTTGGAGATTTACCTGTATCAATGTGTCAAAGGAGCTAATGTTGTTGCAGATGCAATATAACATAGAAAACATGGTTTAAACATGATCCAGTTGGTTTGTATTAATCAACAGTCAATTAACCAACTTTACCAAAGCCTCCCTACTTGACGGGTAGTCTCACACATCCGCCATGTTTGTAGTTCGTTTACACTTTTTACCGAGCTGGTGATTAACAACTCCAGGTCCAACATGCAATGCATTGTGGGTGATATTAGCGGTTAGAGTATGGACGCTTCTATACTTCAAGTATTTACCGGAAATAGTAAACCATCAGGGAACCTTTGGCATACTCTTTTCAACACACTATGGTTTGGGACATACTAGTTCTATTTTCAAATACGATTTAGGATGGATAGCATGCGAATTGGGACGCAGCAATAGAAAATGTGCAGAGATGGTGGTGCTCCAGAAACGGGATTGAGAAACATTGGGATAGATCATGTTGTGTGACAGTGACTGTCAAGCAGTTTTTAAGAGGACCTGTAATGCCGATCTCACTTTTACGTGGTGTTTGAACGCAAGTGTCAACAGCCAGCCTATAATGTTACAATTCTATTACACCCGAAAAAAACAGTAATAGTCCCCATAAATCAGTGTCTGAATATGTTCCACTTTTTCCCTACAGTTTAATGTCACAGGCCTTATCAATGATGATCTGCCTTATTAATATAAATCAGCAAGAATCACTGGATTCCATAAAGAAATTCATTCGCATTAAACTACTAACGTTATTTATTCAAGAAAAGTGACTAATACTTTGTTTTTCTTTTGCAGTCTGATTCATTTTAACCTGACAGACAGCAAAAGGTATAGTATATAACACTGTAAATCCCTATATTTTTGCATGCATATCAGAAGGAAAAAGAGTTTGGTTTTACATACAAAAACAAAATGCCTGATGGCACACAATCCCAAATTCAGCGATCACATTTAAAACATTAATACATACCATTATAGTAAAACTTGACATCATCAGGAAGGGGCTGATACGCAGGAGGGAAATATGGTCCTTTATGCTCTAGAAACTTCCATTTAATTCCATTCTCATACTTCTCTTCCTCCCACCTATAGAAAAGTTAAGAAATAAAAAAACAATGACAACAAATATTCTGAAATGAAAGAGGTCCACATAAGACAAGAAGCCTACCATCTCCATCTTTGTTTCTCTTCCTCCTCTTTCTTCTTTATCTTGAGAGCTCTGGCTGCTTCAATCTCCTCCTTGGTTTTTTTCTTCTTAGTAGAGACCGGACGCTCTCCTTCCTCTTTTTTCACCTGACAAAGACACAGAGCAACCATCACGGCAAATTCTGTCAATAAGTGTCCAGTAATGCAGCAAGTAAATAGCAACTGTCATTAAAAACAGACATGTTATACATTTTATATTTAGAAATGCATTTGTGTGCAAGCCTTTATTTGTCAATTAAATGATGATGGAAAATAATCAATGATTTATACTTTTGCTATATCAAATATATTTGAAATTATATTAAATGTAATGCATAAATTTTTCACTTAATAACAATTACAAGGGATGCTCCAATCAATCGGCTAGAAAACGGTATCGGCTTATAATTACATTTTATGACTCGACTGGTACTCACCAATCTGCCCGATATCATGAACCAATAGAAAATGTGTTTGTTTACAAGTTTGTAGAGGAAGACACACATGCTCACCCATACTGTATATTACACATCAGCAGTACTAAAACACGTGAGGAGGTAAATGATGCATCAGCAATAGATGGGCTCCCAATCCAGCAGGTAAAATATACATAGAATTATTTGCAATTATAGGCCTACTTCCTTTTGGTAAAGTAGTAATGGATATATACAGTAGTTGTGCATTTTAACTTCGTATGCATCAAATATGTGCACTAAACTTTTTCTTGATTTTTTTTCTGCTGCTCCTCTCAAAGCTCCACTGCTCACCGCTTTTCCCCTCATTATTAGTCCTTTTTCTTACCATTTTTTATCCATTTAATATTATTTTATGTAAAGCCGCTTCCAACCATGACATGATCACACTAAATGGTTATACGAGATGTGTTTAGGAGATTATCCTTATTTTATTCTCTTAGGTAAGGAGAGATCTACAATTAAGTAGCATACTTGTGAAACATAACACTTATGCATTACAAGCTTGAAGCATCAGAATCAGTAATCTGTATCGGCCGATTACAAAGTATCAGTACTCTGTATCGGCTGCAAAATTCCTGATCGGAGCTTCCCTAACAAATACACATGTAAAATATTTAAAAATATATTTACTAATAATAATATTAACATTTGATATTATAACTTATACTAATCAATAATAAAGTTTTATTAAATGAAAATACACCATGTTAAATGCATCTGATGCTTTCCTATTTTTAAGCTGAGCCCTGAAAAGGATTGAACATCATTTTAACTGAATAAATCACCAGCTTTGAACATTTGGCACAATATCACAATAACACTCAGGTCAACAGGTATACACTGTGAAACTGCGAAAACAAGATGCTCATAAAAACAAGGCTAATTGCACCTTGCTGTTGACAACTTAGTTGTGATTCATGGTGCTTAAAGAGTTTCTGAGGTAAAACTTGCAGGATATTCTATCTCTGACTGTGCCCTTTTAGTTATAATGAAAGAACACAATAGTGACAAATGGCACTTTGCCATTAGATAAAAAAACTTTTCTGGTTGAAATGTTAGCAAACCCATGGGAGACAAAAAGCATTTATTTTCCCCCAAAAAAATGAAATTGAAATTGAAGCAAAAAGAAGTGAAGTCTGCAGTGGGAAAGCAGTCACGACACCTGACCAGAATGAACCCCTGAGGGGACGTGAAGACATGGACAGCATCTTTTCACAGTGAGCCAAAAACTGAACTATAAACGCTTTCTCCTGGGAACAAAATTCGTTGCTCTGCAAGACAGAAATGTTCTCCAAAACTGCTCTCCGCTGCACTAAAATTACTATCAAAGGACGAGAGCTACAGTTGTTGAATAAAATGACAGCTTTTCAACACAGGCAATCGCTTTTGTGACATGGCCTTTTAAATCCATCAAAGAATTGGGTGATTGTGAAGGACAAGTTGATGTTGACCTGCAGAAGGCAGTTTAGAAGAATGGCAAAGATGAATCAAATGACAATTCAATGAAAAATAGAAAGTTTCAACCAGGATTTAAAAATAAAGCACACAGAGAAATAACCTGATGGGGACATTGAATTAAAACTTTGCATAGAACAGAGTTACAGATGAAAAAATAAAAAATAAAAATGAAATGTTATTTAAGAAAATTCAGAATATTCTATCACTGCAGCATATGCCTTTTTCTTGAGTGTGTGTGTGTGCAACCTTTTTTTAATCAACACTTTGAGTGCGTTTAGGCACCTTGGCTACTCTTTTGTCCTTTCAATAATCAAACACTATAGCACTAATGCTATGGAACCAATAATGGAACCAATCCAATTCCAAAATTTTGAGTATCAACCAATACAGATCTGACCCTGACACTTTGCCGTTTTTATTTATTTATTTTTTTAGCATAATACAGTTTCTATAGTTCTGGTGCTAAACTCAAATAATATCTTCTTTAGTAAAACTAACAAACCTTTAGGCCTACTGTATATGACAGATGGCACAATCTAACTAAAAACATGATGCTAGCTAGAAATTATAGGCTATGTTATTTGGGCATTCATTATGACATTGATATGATCTGTTTTGGTCCAGCTTACGTTTCTTTTTTTAATATTATTTTTCTTTTAAATCTGTAATAGGCTACCACTATATTGACTCTAACCCAAAGTAAAATAACCTGCCTTTTAGCAAAGCCTGATATTTTCCTTCAGGTTTGAAGTGGACTAAACCGTCTGAGGCCAGTTTGATTTAAACATTCCCTCACCTAAACTCACCACGGGTGAGACAGAGAACTGACAGTATGTCTGAAAATTTGTTTTTTGTCTGAAAAATGATCTTTCTGAAACAAAATTCTTTTGGTATAATTTGTTGGTTATTTCAGTGTATTTTGTTGGTCAGTTATCTACAAAATAAACAAGAATATTTTAGATGAAGTTTGAAACAAGGTCCGCTTGCATTCTTCAGAGCACAAACTAACAAACAGGTCTGTTAAATAAAATAGTAATTTAATAAAACTACAGTAAAATATTCACAATTTCAGAGTAGCCTACATTAGGCTGAATAATTTTCTGTTAATGACAATCCTTAAGCACCCATCAGTTTCACTTTTATTATTTTAATCAACTAGGCTACTTTGACCTTAATAAGCTAGGCTTTACAAACTACACAAAGCATTAAAAGTATTTCCCTCGGAAGAATAAACCCGCGTCGCGTCTGTGCAGCCGTTTTCATAAATGGAGCGCTTGAAACATCATGGAGACAGCGCGCAGCCCTCCGATATTTGCGAACACTTCCAAAACAGCAGCACAAAGGTAAGAAATCGGTGCGTTGAGGACCGGTCCAATGAATCATTGAGCCTTTTCTAATTTAAAATAATTTCAGGTTATTGGCCTACTTTGTGTGTGAGAAGAGCAGGTAATAACCCTCTCTACTCCAGTATTGTGAATACGAATGAACCCATTTAGTGTAAAACTAAATGCATTTCCGCGCTGATTATGTAAACTAACAGTAACAAATAGTTTTGGAGAAAGGTTATCGTGTTGTCATAAACGCGACACGCAGTCTGAATTGTGATTGAACGGAAAATGATTGACAGGCGCAGCGGTGGGAAGCGCTGAACTGAACATTAATTTAAGCACTTGAATATCCAGTTATATTTCACATTAAACTATAGAATGGCTTCAGAACATTTGCGATATAGTAGAGCTACATGACAACTTAGTGCCTTATAACAAGGCTACCTTCGTGGCATTTGTTGCCTTATAAATTACACAGAATATAGCGCATGAGCAAGATCGGATTTAGATCGGCCGAAACCCAATCCAGCAAAAACTGCAGTCTCGCACCGATATCTGCTCCAAGTAATGGGATCGGTACATCCCTAATATGAAACCCACCTTTTCTTTTTTTTCCTTCATTTTTTTCTGCTTTGCTGTTGAAGCGTTTTCCTGTCCATCTGCAACTTTCTTCTTCTTCTTCTTTGGCCTTTCAGAAACAGAGCAGACATTTAAGGTTTCCTTTGTCATCTCTTAATTCCAATAACATTTCAAATAACAATAACAAACTCAGTGTGCAAGTCAGTAATAATTTGAAGTAAGTTTCAACAGGGATGATGAGAACTGTTTCTTGGGTTGCATCCAAATTAGCACCGAAGGAAAGACTACCGAATAATAACATGACGCTATACACTAGAGTAAAGGCTGCTGAACATTCAGTTATCAGAACCAGAAAAAAGTAGCTTTTTTTAAAGTCGATAAAATATATATATTTTAAAAATCATACTAACCCCAAAGTTTTAAAAGTTAGTTATTTAAGTCTGTGAGCGCTTGTACAACTGTCAGAGCTAAACACAGCGCACACTGCAGTTTTTTTTAAAGTTTTTTAAATCCTGCACTTCCATTGACAACAATAGAAAAAAAGCACAGCTTGGGAAAATAGCTGACATGCGCCCTAATAATTATTTATGAGCAGCAAATTAGGAGTTTAAGGCAAAAGTTACAGTAAGTGGTTTTATCAAGATATATAGTTTAGTAGTACTATAGTTTTATGCCACCTCTATTTTCTTGTACAAACACTTCTTCATGGTTTACATGCTATGCTGATGGTGTAACAGTTATAATTTTCTCCTCATATGCTTATTAAGATTTGCACGAAAACTATGTACATTAGTAAAACTGTACTGCTAATTGAATTGACCTTGTTACATTAAATGTGAATATGTACATACTTGTCTCCTCTTAGTTGCAGTTTTACAAAAAAAAAAAAAAAAAAAAAAAAAAAAAAGATATTGAGGAGAACAATTGCCAGTAAAGTCACGTGTGTTAGCAAACTGCTTTCTGCTGTTCTTATGCTATTGGGACAATACAATTGGTTGGGACAGAATAATAATTATTAAGTCTAATATTTGTAGTATTTTCATAACAATTTAAACTCTCCTTTTAATATGTACAACAAGAAACAAAAAGTTGGAGTTTTGACTGCATATACTATGGAAGAATGACTGAGTGCTGTCTAACACTTGGCCATACACACAACAACCACAGATAAATTTCAGCAGCTGATGTGTGACATAATAAACGTGCTGATTTGCATCATCACTGGTGACAGGCAATGCTTGAAATATAATTGTCATGTCTGTTGTCCTAACATACATCAGTTATGTCAGGTTTCCACTTTTTTTCTTGTACTTGTGTGTTAAAACGGCCCTCCTATAAATTGCCAGTAACTGAAATGGCCCCCCACCAATTTGAGTTTGAGAGCTATGCTTTAAACAAACCTGTATTTTTTGTATCATGTTTTTAAAATGATCCTTTTAATTTAAAAGTGGGACAACTATGTTCGGTTCACACAAGACACAAAGCATCACAAGTCACTTTTTCTAGATAAGTTGAGGGATATTTTTCACCTAGCCAATATTTTCTACAAAGTAAATCTTTTTAACATGCACAGAAGACTTCATTAAAGTGAAATCCATGCATTTGTGGCAAACATGTTGTGCAATCTGCATCTTTTGTGCTGCCTAAAGGAAACTCACCAGTCGTTTGTGTTTGCAATTACTTTGTATGAAATCTAAAAATAATAAAATAATTAAATTTGCATTTGGTGTGAACCCAGCATAAGCCACTCTCCATTTAAATAAAAAAAAATCAAGATGTAGAAAGAACTGTTTTTTTTTCTTTTTTCATTCATTTATTCCCCACCCAGAAAAATATCAAACACTTACAAAGGTGCTTCGGCGCTAGATAAGAGTCCATCTGTATTATCCGCCTTTCTTTTCCTCTTTTTCCCTTTCTTTTCTGTTACAAAGTCTGGATCTTCCTTTGGCTCTTCCTTAACATTTACATGAGACCTAAAAGAAAAACAGGCAAAGCACATATAAAGTCTGTGAAAACTTCAGTCTACTAAAAAAAACCCAAAGGACAAACATGCATTGACCAATGACAATGACTAAATTACAGTGATTACACAATAATGCTTAATGGCCACTGATGATAATTATATAATTACAGCAATTACACCCAAGGATAATTGCGGAGAGATGCAAGCTTCAATTTCCATAAAGCATGATTCAGATGTGGTGAGAGGTGAGCGGACCAAATCAATTAATTACAATTTTCATAACAAACGGTTCAATTCAGCGGAGAACTTCCTGGGAGAGATTAAGTGTAAAAGCACACTCGGACACCTTCAGCAGGTTTTATGTCTGACCTCTGTCTGTAAATCAGCCTCCCACAAGCAATCACCAGCAGGACTTGATTTACAAAGTGTCTGATTGTTCAAGTCCCTGATTAGAGACGTGCTGTGCTTATTGTGAGACAGAAACAGTCGAAGAGAAGTTTAAGATGGTCCACTTTTTATAAAAATGACATTTATATTAGCGCATGAAATACAACTTCATGTTAAATGTTTGCTTACCCAGATTTACGCCTCAGGCTCTAATATATGCCCCCCTTCAGGATCCCCTCCCTCCTTTCCCACCCAGTCTGATCTGAATGCTTTTCACTTATTGCTTTTCTGACATGCCACAGCTTTCTTTCCAATAAATAAATTAATTTCCTGAAAGACAGCCAATATAGCAAGAAAATCGGAATGGATATTGTCCAGAACTGCGCACATTCAAATCATCAGAATTAATTTTCATCAACTCCAAAGGCAAGAGAAAAAAAAAGAAGTATGATTGCATATTTGAATGGTAAATGGATTAAAACTCATTTCCAAGAGCAGCTGCTGGCTGCTAGGCTGATGCCATTTCTCTAAATCAAAAGCCTGGATCTGAGATACTATATGTGCAAGTCTAACAATTATAAATACAGTCACATTTGACACAGCAGTCTCACTGTACCTTCTGTCACCACTGCCTTCAGTTTCCATGATCTCCTCCTCCGATGCTTTCATCTGGGAGAGGAGAAAAATGCATTTCACAAATATTTTTATTATAACCTGTGTTTAAAGCGTTAGCTTACACAAAAAAAGAAAATTGTGTTATTAATTACTCCCCCTCGTGTCATTTATTTGTACATCTGTTACACAAATTAAGATAATTATGGTAAAATCTGAGAGCTTCCTTATCTTCCACAGACAGCACTCAATCACAGAAAGTTCAAGAAAGGAAAAAAAAAAAGAAAAAAAAAAGAACATGACTTCAATGCTTTAATCTGAATATTTTCAGCTACGGGATAATATCGTACAAACTTTTTTGAACACCTTTCTTTACTTTGAATGAGTCTGGAATCTTGAGTCTGCCTATAGAGGACAAGAGCTGAGCGATAAAACAATATCGGTATAAAAGTTCAGTTTGACTCGCGATAGTTTCATTAAAATGTGGCTGGCTGAGCACTAATTTTTCAATAGAGGCACGCAACATGGAGTGCACGCGCATGCCCAAATTTCCCAAGCGCACCTAGTTGAAAACATCTTAACCTTTTAAAATGGCTCAAGGGCACCGCGATTCATGCGATTAGAACAACTTTAACAACATATAACAACTATAACAACTCAGTTTCACACTTTGTATGGAATATACACATTTCAGTAATATTCATTCAATCATTTTCCTTCGGCTTAGTCCATTTATTTATCAGAGGTCGCCACAGCGAAATAAACCGCCAACTTATCCAGCATTTGTTTTACACAGCGGTTGCCCTTCCAGCTGCAACCCAGTACTGGGAAACATCCATACACACATTCACAGACATACACTATGACCCATTTAGTTTATTCAATTAATCTATAGCGCATATTTTTGGACTGTGGGGGAAACTGGAGCACCTGGAAGAAACCTGCGGAAACACATGCAAAACATGCAAACCCTACACAGAAGTGCCAACTGACTAAGCCGGGACTCAAACCAGCCACCTTTTTCATTTCAGTAATAGTAGTAAACTAATTACCTCAGACAAACACAGAGCACTAAAACACTGCAGTGCTTTTTCATTTTCTCAATAAGTAAAACTTGTATCCGAACTGCAGCAACAGTTGCAGTAGTAAAGGAATCCTAGAAATCCTAGAAAGGAGTCCTAGATGAAAGAGCCCTCAGATTTCACCTAAAATATCTTAATTTGTGTTCCGAGGTGTCAGGTGAGTTTTTGAGAGTGTTGAAACAACATGAGGGTGAGTAATTAATAAGAGAATTTTTATTATTTGTGTGAACTAACCTTTTAAAGTAAACACTTGCATTTTATATGCTTTCTATGCATGACAGACTTATTTACTGCCTTTTATGATCACCAATAATGCATTTGTTTACAGTTCAGAATAACATTTGTATTTTGTTGTACTTTAACATGTACAATAGCATAATTTCCAAGCAGTTATTTAATTGTCAAACCATTCTAACATGCTGATTTAGTGCTAAAAACAAACTATTATCAATGTTGAAAACAGGTGTGCTGACAAATAAGGAAATATTTGTCTGATGAATAGAATGCTCAAAAGATCAGTATTTTGTTGCAAAAGTAAATCATTTATAGCACTCTCCTTAGCCACTTTTAATCATTTCAATCCGTCCTTCCAGAATAAAAGTATTGATACTAAAACTAAAGAACTGGTATCTTACTATGATTTACGTCCAAAATAAAGATAAAAAAATACAATAATCAAGCAACCTACTAACTGACCTGACAAGGACATTCTTTTGTAAGTCCACCAACTACAAGTAAAGCACTGTATTAGGCTGTCAGGTAATAATTATAGAAGAGGCAATATATGGAAATATCAAAGAAAGAAGAAGACCAAGAAGCTGCATTATGCTAATTTCAAAGTGCTGTGGGAAAGTAGGGCTATTTGCAAGTTTGACGCACCACAGGGAAGCCCAGTCTAATCAATGGCTTACAACCTGCTATCAGGGAAAGCCATCTAGATCACTTGAGGCCAAAACTGGCGCTCGGAGCTGTCAAGGAGAATCATATTCCACTACAAAAATATCTGCATGGCTGGAAGTAGGTTGCATTAGAGAACAGACTTGCATAATGGCAAAATACTATTACTATCGTTCACAGATAATGAGTGGTTCCATGCAACCGCCCTGAAGAAAGAAGACGGCGCTGCTCGCTTCCCTCTGCGTAACGGTCTATTCTTGTTATATCTAGGATTTTGTAACCTATGAATCTGATGTTCTGATTGCTCGCTGACTAAATGCTTTTAGGTTGTGCTCCGTATAGCAGTCTGTTCTTGTTATATTTGGGTCTCTGTAACAGCCCTGAATGATATGTCTGCATAAATATTCTTTTACAGCAAAGCTAACAGGGCCTCTTAATTAAGCCGGACTTGAAGAGAGAATCCCAGGGGCATGACGAAAGAAAATTAATGGTGACATTGAAAAACTACCTTCCTGTGCGTTTTCTCCTTCCCTTCACGCTGAGACTTTGTCTTGCCTTTGGCCTTTGCTTTCATTTTCTTGGGCTTTTCTCTGCAGAAGGAACAAAAAAAGGGTGAGGACAAAGAGTCAAATATATTTATGTAATAAAATTTTTATATTTCCACTAAATTGTACACTTGGAATTGAGCTTCCTTATATGGTTACACATTAAAAACGTAATTTAAAAATCATGATCATACATTTTATTTACATTTTTTACCACATACCCATTCATAAAATTAGCCTCTGCATTTCTTAAGTTTTACTCTCATTAATGTATTTGTTTAAAAGAAATGAATGTAAATTGTATATTTGAAATTTAAGACATTTTAAGACATTTTAAGACCCCACGGGTACCCCAATGTTATGGAGGATCATCTTTTCATGGGCGTTCACTCCATCATCACAGCTGTTTCCTGTGTTAGATTGTTATAATATCTGCCTATTTGCAGTTCTTTGCTATAGAAACACTTGTCTCGAGCCACATGTGGCTCTTTGACCAAAAATACGAGGCTCTCCAGCGGTCTTCCTTTAATATTATTTTATCGTTTCAAAAATTATGACCATCACTAAAAATCAGCTTCCTAACAAAAATACAATTATAATCCCCTTTTTAATTGCAATTTTATACAGCACAATGAATAAAAACTTGGTTAACAAAGGATGTTTTGATCAATGTGCCTTTTTTGGCAAAGTGGATAAACTTTTGCAACACCAATAAAGGACAAACAACTTACATTTCTATGGTAACTCAAATTCAAACAACATTCATGAGTGGGAGATGGTGAAAATAAAAACACTATAAAATATTCTTTCTTCGATCAAGGACTTGCTCAACGTGATGCTTCTTTTTTTAAATTTATTTATTTATTTATTTTTTGAGTTGTGCATGGACAAATTAAGGTTTTGTTTAAATCTGTATTATTTATAGTAATATTCTAAATAATATTGTAGTATTAGTAATAATACTATATATTTTTTTTATTATTTATAGTAATACAGTAGTATATATATATATATATATATATATATATATATATATATATATATATATATATATATATATATATGTATGTATGTATATATATATATATATATATATATATATATATATATATATATGTATGTATGTATGTATGTATGTATGTATGTATGTATGTATGTATGTATGTATGTATGTATGTATGTATGTATGTATGTATATATATATATATATATATATATATATATATATATATATATATATATATATATATATATGTATGTATATATATATATATATATATATATATAAAATTTACTACTGTATTACTATAAATAATCTCCAAATGGCTCTTTAAAAAAATGCATTTGCTTAAAAACTCAGAAATGGCTCTTTGCTGAAAAAAAGGTCCATCATCACACCCCTTTCCTGTGTTAGATTGTTATAATATCTGCACATTTGCAGTTCTTTGCTATAGAAACACTTGTATCACTTGTACCCCAATGTCATGGAGGAGCAATCGGGTTTCCTCAGCGTTCACCTCATCATCACAGCTGTTTCCTCCAGCGAAAATGTAACTCTTAACGAACATTTGGCTATTTTTATTTTAAAATTACCTATGAATATAAAATGCATTACAGTGCATGTGGCGTTAACAATACCAAATTTATGCACATCATTAAACACAGTGTCAAAACTACTCATTTATCCGCATATCAGAGTAAAACATTGAGTTGTATTGTATTAAAAAATATTTCCTATTACGACTTGAGATTTTGAAATATGTAAATTTAAATAAATCTATGCCATTTTGAATTAGAAAAGTCGCAGTTTTATTTGTCAAACATTTTACGTTTTTGTTAAAGTGTATTACTTTAAATTATTACTTAAAATGTTATTTTTAAGGCTAACATAAACTTACTTAAAATGAATTATTAGGCTAACATATAAATGAAAAACCTAAAATTGCCCCAGTTTACAGCTACACCACTACTGGAAATACATTAGATAAGGGTAGACATAAAAAACACCATTAAAAAGGAAGAGTTCTGAATACATATTATCCCATTACAAATAAACTTCTCCCTTCACTGGAGTGTGTGACAGTCCGCCAGCAGGCCTCGTCACAACAGGCTGCTGTCAGCAACACTTACAGGTGTCGAAGTCTTTCATCAGATTAATTACAAATGCCAGAGACGGATGAACGTCCCCGGCGTTAGCGTGCCCATATAATGCATTAGATATCAAAGTAAAATAATTTATTCATAAAGAAGATGGAGTACAACTCTCTAAATAATGAATGCAAGCTCTCTGGCACTCACTTCACACTTGGTTAGATTTAAGATTTCTGGTGCACATCATCTGTTTGGGAGGCTCAATTTGTCTCCATCTTTCGCAGTAACACAAAAGGCGTTTCTGCAGCAAAGTGCAGCACTGTGTGTAATAATGTGCAGCTGTTGTTTGTGTTGCCATTAAATCTTGCTTATTCTCAGCTGAATAATAAATATTTAGCCTACTTGTACTCTCATATAGGGAACTCACAGATGCATTAGAGGTGATGTGTGAGTTTGAATGGAATGTGTGCCAGCAAGAGCACAATTACAGGGTGGCATTAAGTCAATATCAAGAGGCTTTTTTTCTTTCTTTCAGAACAAGTGGATGTGATGTGATTGGACATACAGTGTAACATTTGTTTGTGATGTTTTAAAGGGTTTAATAGCGTGTTGTAATTTCAATAACAGCTGTCTGTACTCACGAAAATGCCTCTTCACTCGAGCATGGATCGTCTTTCAACTCGTTTTCCATGGCGTTCACAGAGCTGGAGTTTTCAGCCAATTCTGAAAGTATTACATTTGACTCAAAGTAGCGTTTGTACAAAGCATATGTCTTGATATCTTCTGAAACACGTCATAAAACATAATAAACTAACTGGTTTAGCATGGTAAAAACAGAATATTTGCTTTGCGATGTCAATCAAATTAATAAACATGAACGTGATACCTGCAAATAACGTACAGTTGTAATTGATCCACGTGGCTTTTGATCATACAGTTGACTTTTTGGTGTCGTGGGTGCTTTATAACCAAGTTTACGCTACATTTAAAATGTGGCTGAAATAACCTTGTTCATTAAATATTTATATAAAATAAGTGTTAAAATCGCGTGCTACTTTGCTACAAGCAGCATGCGTAAGTTACCACTAGCGACACCAAAAGGAACTAATATACATGACGTTTCCAAACAGGTTCCGCAATTAACTCCGCGTCTGCCATTGGGCGGATAAAAAAGATATTCCCGCCCTAATCGCATTCCATTGGTTATACAGTAATTTATTTGTCACCTCACCGTTTTCTGATTGGCTAAAACACAGCGATTACTCTCATGAGAAAAACATTTGTTTTTTTTCTTCCTAATCAACAACATCCTTATGCTTTTATAAAAAAAATTATACATACATACAACATATTTGAAGGTGAAGCCAATGTTTTGTGCTTTTTATAATGAGATTCAATCATATATAAAGCCCCTTAAGATAATGAAAACAAAAAGTGTAATTAATCTTCTAGTCTTTGATAGAAAAGTATAAATTTCAGAAAAATCCTGACATTTGGGGGGGGGGGGGTCAGCTTTCAGTTTAGCATTTTCTTATACCCCCAACATTTGTGTAATTTATTTAATTATATACCTGGCTGCACTATTAAATATTTACATATTTATTTATGCAGAAATTTGTGTAATTTTTATATACATTTATGTATTTGCATATTTATTTATTATTTTATTTATGCAGGAATTTACGGATTTATTTACTCATTTATTTATATATTCGCATATTTATTTATTTTATGTTTTTGCAGGTTTCGTCCTCCAAAGTTTATTCTTATGAAGAAAACATTTGTTTTTTGTCTTTGTAAAAAAAAAAAAAAAACTCTATACATCACAAGTTCTAAACACGTTGCACAATTATTTACAGTGCAAAAAAGTTTGTATTATTATTATTATTTTAATGTTATTTTTAATATAAATGGATAAAGGAAACAATCAAATACACAACTTATATTTGTTTACTTATGAGATAATTAATTATTTAATTTACAGCCATGGCAGCCCAAGGGCTTCGGTGTACTGTCTTTACATTACAAAACTGTTACTTTTACGATCTGATTTCTTTAAAAATCAGCGATATCACTTCCTGTTAGATATACGATATAAAGTGGGTCTCAGATCTGACAAGAAGCACTGCATTAAATTCCATTTCCCCCTGTCATGTATTTAAAATATGACAGTTTATTTTACCCCAGTATTTTCAATAGAATTTCTGCGCCAGCCTGTTGCTACTGATGGTGCAAACGGTTACAACGGTCTTTCATCTCGTTTTACGCTTGAACAACTAAACAAATGCTTAAGTTTATTTAACTGAATGTATTGTAATTACCTTACAACATCGATGCTGTAAAACAACCTTGTGAATTGAAAATCACTAGGGCCGTGCATAAAGCTTATAGGGTTGATTTCATATTAGATTTGAATAAAGTGCCTGACATCATTTTAACATTACCCCGATGAGCAAAACAACGTTGAATCAATGTCTTTGATAAACGTTAATTAGATGTAAAGAGAAACGTTTATTTTTGGTTGAAATAATGTAATTTTGCTAATTTGCTTTCACTAAAACACTAAATGCTAAATAACCACATTTTAAAAATAATACATTTCTGGTTAATACTGTCAAAATTTGATTATGCCAAGTATATTTATTTACTCAGTTTTATGCCAGTCTATTTTTATTACTAAATTACATTTTCCACCTACTTATGCTAGCAAACAACCAAAACATTCATTAATTAATTTTTATGCTTTGTTTAAATTGAAGAGTTTGTAGAATTACAACCATATACTGTAAAAAGATTACAACTTTCCATTTAGTATCCTGTACAGTCATTTAGTCATTTGCATAAAACGGCGCGTGGCCCCTTTAAGAGACCCCGGAAGTAAATGCGTGTTGCAACATAATACAAGACGGTTTATTTTGGTGCGTGTTTGACAGGCGCGCAATGACACCTTTCCACTTAAGTACAGTCGCGCGATCTTTGCTAAAGTCGTATCGACACAGAGCTGTACTAAAAACAATCCACGGACTCCGACTCTGGGATTTTCAAAGCATGCATCCACGCTCCTCCATCGCAGGGCACGAACTCATGGAGGAGATCCTGAGGAAGACTGTGGCCCCATTGCCCAGCTACGAGATGAGAGACAAATCTCCACCTCCACCCGAATCCAACAGTTTGGAGTTCATGCATTTTTACAAGAGTTTAGAGAAAGAGCAGAGGCTGGAGTTCCTCGAGAAGTTGTCTCATGATTTCGGGGTTGATCACAGGTGGGCTTCGGATCTGGCCGCAAAGTTGCTGGAGGCTCAGGTGCGGGATGTGGCCACCATCCTGCAGGTGGAGGACAGGCTACGGTACAGTTTGACACCCCGGTACCGACAGCTGCTCACCCACATCAGCAGGGTGCAGGGCGGGGTGAAGTTTCTGGTGGACCTCAGGGCAGATCTCATCGAGTTCGCATCCTCAAAAATTAGTGACAGCCCACATATGAGGGTAAATACTCATCATTTCAATGCTGTATAATATCTAGATAAGACATGTTCCCAAAATTAAGGGTAAATAATCCTAATTTTATAGTTATATGATATATAAATAGCATATGTAATATTTTTTTAAGTTGTTCCAAAATAAAACATCATTACATCCTTAAAAATTAACAACAGCTTAGGTATTGGTGTAAATAACTTTGTTGTTATGTATTTCAATGGCTATTATAACTTTTAAGGTCGTACAAATGTTAAATTTGCATCCTCAATAATTTGTGACTGACAGCCCACATATGATGGTGAATACTCATGATTACAGTGCTGTATGATATGTAGATGACAAGTATGTTTACAAAATTAAGGGTAAATAATCCTACTTATATAGTTATATGATATATAAGTAGCATATGTAAAATTTTTGAAGTCGTTCCAAAATAAATTATCATTCCATTCTCAAAAATAAATGACAGCTCAGGTATAAAGGTAAATCCCTTTTTTTTGCAAATACTCAAACCTCTGTTGCTATAAATACATTTCAGATGTAAAAGCTTTTGGGTTTTGCAAGAAAAATATTGAGAAGGCATACTGGGAATAAATAAGTGAAAATATGAAAAAATGTTTACAGTTTTAAGATACACACTTTAGATGTCAAATGTAACCATTTGATAAGTGTGCATCCTCATAAATTAGTGTCAGCCCATATATGGAAGTAAATACTAGGGCTGCACAATCTATCGTTTCAGCATCGATATCACAATGTGATCATTCACAATAGTCACATCACAGGATTTACATGTTTTTTTTAAAGCCTGTGACTGTATGAGGATTTTAAAAGCATTCAGCCTTATGAAATTGTACCGTTAGTAACTTTGATAAAACTATTAATTTTATTGCATTATTTGTATCTTCATCTATAAGTTACTGTTCCTAAATACTGTTAGACCTGGACAATGATAAAACAATTTGTTTCAATTGTAACCTTTTCTCTGTTGTATATATGCTTATAATTTGTTTATTAGATTTTTACTCCCCTACAGAATCATCCCAATCAATCTAAAATGATCAATTATTTCTGTATGGAGATATTTAAATCATCTGGTGAACTGGTATTAATAGCGCAATAAATGTTGCAGAATAACAAAATATCGCAATGTTCGATTTTTCCAATATTGTGCAGCCCTTGTAAATACTCAGAATTTTTCTGATTTAGTAGACTAAATATAATATTTTTTTGAGTTAATTACTTTTTTTTTCAAATCTAAATTTAGTACAATCTTTTATACAACGTCATTATGTAATTTGTCAAAAATATGTTGTATTATGGTATATATACAGTAGATTTAAAATGTGGGGTTTTTTTGTTGCGCAGACCTAATATCTACAGTAGAACAGAAAATTGAGCTTGCCTTCCAAATATTTGTGGCTAACCACATATGATATTAAACATTTCTAATTATATTATAATATACAGATATCCGATACAACAATTTCTGTGGTCATTCATGAAATAATGAATAAATTAGTGACAACTCGCGTATGTATTGTTCCATTCTCACATGATATATAAATGTCGAATATTGCCTAATCATTTTGATGGTTACCTAGGATAAAAATAAATACTTTCAGACATATGAGGATAAATAAATACTCACAAATTCATTATGGAACTCATCAACTGTAATAAGTTTTGATGTGTTGTTTAATCAGTTTTTTTACATGCTGTTTTTACTATTACTAAAAGACTTATTCTAGTGAAAGGCATTCCTTTACCAGGTTCCAATCAAAATTTAGTTCCATGTTGTGTATACTACTGTACTTTTTAAACTTTGTGGATATTCCAAAAAAACTTATTGGCATTACATTCTCACTAATTAGTGACAAGCCACAAATATGAATGTAAATACTCAATATATCATTTTATATGATAAGTAGTTGTCATGTACGGTAATTTTGTAGTTGTAAATGTGTCATAATACTGTACTTGCGTTTTCCCCAAAAATGTTTGATGTAGATTTGAAATGCAAAATGCAAATAAATTAATCAGTCCACATTGAGAGGTCATCATGCCATTCTAATAAATATCTGAAATGTTTTCATTTTAAGCACCATTTCAAGATAAAATATTGAGTTTGTGTCCTCTAAAACAATTTAGTTTCAGAAATTTGAGTGTCTCATAATTTCATTAATATGCAGATACCAAACGCACTCACACTTTGTTTTTTGTTTTTTTTGTTGGTAAACATACAGTTGATGCAAACAATAGACTACCCCCCCCCCCCTATCTACTATGTATTTTTGTGAATGCACCCACGTCATGGAATGACCTTTTGGCTTTCCTGATGTGCCAGTGAATTCTGCTTTCATAAGACTGTCTCTGTCAGTGACATGGCATGCAATCTTGTGATGTGCCCTTTCCCCTACTTTAGATCCTGGTGGTCTCTGATTTCACATGGCTGGTAGTGTTTGCAGCCAGGCGACCTTTGTCCCACATTGGTGAACGTCACAGGCTTCAACTCTTACATAGTTTCTAATGTTTTGGTGCCAGAAATACTTTTGAATTCATGGCATGCCACTTTAATTTAAGCCACAACGTCATACGGACACATGTCTGCTGTAAACATATGATAAAGTGCTCTACATTTTGTTCCTGTTATAGCTCGTCTTATCCTTTAAAGCAGAGAAATTTTTTATTTAGAATTCAAGAACATTTTCTTTTAAATTTTAGCTTTGTGCCGATAATTTTTGTTTCTCAAAATTCAACATACTGTATGTCCTTATGTATTTGGTTGTTAGTAATATTATTTTTTTTGACTAATTTGGTT